CAGAGCTCTGAGGAGCTGCCCTGTTGTCTCTTGCCACCCCCAAGAGATGGTTTCCAAGCCACTGAGAACCCATCAGCCTTGTCTATGGGGCGGGGAAGGACTCTTTGCGTGCGGTTCTTTTGCCAAGTGTGCAGCAAAAGGATGGAGATGCCACTCGGACTGGCTGCTCTGTGTATACCATGTATACTGATAGCAAACCTGAAATAAACTGTATTTAAAGCCACACGGCTCCCCAGGGCACACAGTGGTGCCCGTGTCCTTCACTTGGGGGCTGTGGAGCATCTCTTATCGCCGTCCCATTGGAAGCCTCAAAGAGGGTTGTTCTGACCTGCTTCTGCTACAGGATGCATTGTGGGCAGCAACAAAGGAGCCCGATGGGGGCTTAGTCCCTGCATGGAGATGTTAAATGCATCAGGGTGGCTGGTTTGAGCCCGGGATGAGGATGCTCTTTGCCAGGGTTAACAGCAATATAGAGCTAAATGGGTTAATGCACACTGGAACAGCACTCTCACATCCTGGAACAACCCGTGTGCATGCATACCATTGTCTGGGACACACGTGCTGTTCCGGAGTCATCCGCTCCATGTGCTGACAAAGCCTTAGTCACAGCCCATTCCCACATCACCTTGGGATGGTCCAGGAAGAGCAGGGTTAGGTTCGGCCATGAGCTGACCTGGCACAGCTGCTGGTGCCCGGAACACATCCCTGCTCATTCCCAGCACAACCACCCTGGGTCAGGGCCCTCTTTTCCTCTTATACCCATGCCAACGGTGAAATAAACCCCTTCCTTTCCATGGGACACGCCACCAGTTCCTGCAGGGCAATAAAGGATTGCTATCCTGTGCCTTTTCCCACAGGAAAGCTCAGTTTCAGCCCAAATACATCCAAAGGCTCCAGCTGCAAATAGGGGCAGAGAGGGTGATTTCCACCCTGTGCTGCAGCTATTCCCTTGGATGAGGAGGAGAAACCAAGTTAAAACCAATGCCTTGCTCCTCCAGCACAAGATGCCCTTAAAAGTCACCCAGAGAGATAAAACCCCACAAGAACCCCAAGTATTTACCTGGAAAGAAACGGAGCATTGATGCCAGAACCCCCTGACTCCTGCTCTGTTGGCTCAGGGTGCTTTGCTGTAAGGAGGCAAAAGGACTTAATGGGATTGAGCCAAATACCCCCAGCTGGCACCAGGGAAGGGACACAGGTGATGTCCTGCATCCACATCAAGCCCAAAGCTGCAGGAATAGCTTCCCAATGCCAGAGAAATGATGGGGAGCATCATATGCAGCATCCAAGGGGAAGGGGTGGCTTTTCCATGCACCAGGAGGTGCTGCCAGTGATGGTTCCCAGTGCTGTGACACTGTGTTTCGCTTCCCTTGGCTGTTAATTTGTCTTCTCTAGTAGATAATATAAGGCTAATCCTTACATTTTTCCCTGCATGGGACACTGATGCAATGGGACAGTGATCCTGCAGGGGAAGGAAACCTGCAGCTTCCAAACCTCAGCTTTGCTGTGGTTGAAACAAGGTTAAACCCCAGGGAACTGAAGGTGGGAATGAGACTCATCCCCTTAGGAGCTGTGTCCAGGAGTCCCCATCAAGCTCCTCTCAATGCATCTCCTTTTGGCCACCTTGGGAGAAAGATGCTGGATGAGACCAACCTCTGCTCCGCTCCAAACACCTTTAATTCCATCTTAAGCAGTACAAATGGCATGAAAAGTGATTGTACCCCCTGTGGCGCAGTGGAATGAGGTGCTCCTGATGGGATATGTTGATATCCAGCCTCCGAAGCTCTCGTGGTAACCCACAGAGCAAGTGCTGAACTCTTGCAGTGATTTAATACAGGAGTGTCCTGTGGTGCTCCAGCCAAACCACTTGTGCTTCGCTCCAAACCCATCCCTGGCTTGATGGCAGCGCATCCCAAATGCCTTTATGAGCTGAGAACTCCATCCTGCTCCTGGGGACCGATGGCAAAGCTGTTTATTTGCCTTTGTCCTAAGCTGAAACCCAAGAAGCTTGAGAAAATAGGGGTTATTTGAGCCATCATCTGTGTAACATCAGGGAGAGAAACCATCGAGGGTCATGGCTTTCTGGTCCAGGGTTTCCACGTGGCTGTGGATCTGCTCCCGAGGCTGGGATCTTGCCTTGCTGTTATCATTGCTCTTATTGTTGCTATTATTATTACTATTATTATTATTAGTGGGTTTTGCCAGGAGGCAAAAGCAAAACCAGACGTAGGTTGAACAAACAGACCTAATTGCTAACACATGTCCTGCAGAACGTGCATCCTCTGGGATGGAGGGGAATAAACTGGGAAGGGCAACCCAGGGAAAAGGGGGATGTCCACCTGGGGTTGGGGATGCCAAATGAAATGCTGATGTGGAGCAGGGATGACAGATCCCGTCACCTCTCCATCACAATAACTGCAGAGCAGAGGCTGTGCTGGGTCCTGCCCAAATCCAGCAGGATAAATCCTGCTTTCCAAGCAGAAAAAAAGCCTTTTCCCGACTCGGGCAGCGCTGAGGACGTGTCAGTGATGGTAACCCCGGGTGAGGACTGAGCCGGGGCAGCTTTGCTGCCGTGGGGTGATGGAAACGAGCTCCAGCATCACCGCAGGAGCCGCTGCCAACCCCCTGGTGCTGCCGGTGCTCGCTGGTGACCTGCACCAGACTAAACTTGCCCTCGTCACCTCCTCAGGCAGCACAGTGACACGTTCCCACAGTTGCTGCTGCTCTGGGGGCTGGTGCTGGGGCTGCTTTAGGGAGTTCTCTCTAATTACACAACGCATCGGTGCCAAATCCCTGCGGCCGACTCCAACCCGGCGAGCAAAGCCCATGGATTTACGGCACGCAAACTCCCACCTCCTTACTGGTGGCAGGAGCAGGGTTCTATCATTCCGGAGGTCTCCATCCCATCCTTTTGCTCCTATGGATGTATAATCCTCAAGGAAGCGATGGCACAGAGAGGGAGATGGTGTTTGTGGGCCGAGGACCACGTCAGCACCTCGGAGCTGAGTACATCAGGCAGCTGGTAAAGATTATAACCCTTAACTAGGTAAAGCCCTTGGAAACGGCTTCCCAGCGCCTCCCGGGGAAGATGCTGTGCTTGGATTTAGCCTAATTCATCTCAACTCCAGCCAAGCAAGGCTGGGAGGTGGATGGGCTCCCAAAGGGTTATTTAATGTGGCTTGATTATTTGTTATTTCAAGTTCCCCCCCCTCCCCAACCCCATCCCCTTGTAACTGAATTTAATCCTGGTGAGAGGTGTTGGATTGACAGCGCTGGAAATATTAAGCCCTGAAGGAAAAGCTGTTGTGGGGGCATGGAAGGAACAAGGCTGTATGGGATCGAGGGTAAGGGGAATGATTTGCACTAACGGTTGCTTTTTTGGTCTCAATTATAAGATAGAGAGCAAAGGGATTCAGCAAAGCAGCTGGGATGCTTCCAGGTGGCCATTGGGAATGGTTGGAGCTGGCTGAGTGATGCTCTGATCCTGAGCCGCCCTCAGGATCCCATTTCAGTGCATAGCTGCTATTGATGCTTAAAGACTGCACATCTTCCTCAGCCCTTAAATATGTTCTTCATTCACTTCAACACCTCCCTGCTCCATGCAGCCTGTAAGCAAAGTACTTCCCACACATGCTGGGAGTTGCTGACTCAAAAGCCTTTGGGGTATATAGAGCTGAGAAGCTAGCCTAAATATATCCCTCCCCATGGCATAGAATGAGCTCTTTTTGCTTGCTAATACACAGCTTTGGCCTCTGCAACTCTCTATCATCCCAAATTATGGTCACTACAGGGACCACATCCTCATGACAAAGAGAATTCAAGCTCTTTGTGGCATGTGTTGTCCAGAAGCAGCCCCATATCCTATAGAAACGCAGGGGAAGGACAGGGAACAGAGGCAGGGATGCAGGGGAAGATGCAGCGAGGTGATAAGGAATGAGTGGACTGAGTCTACTTAAGCCTGGTCCATGTGAGCATCTTAAAGAAATCCCAGGGAATCTGGGGGAAAAAAAAACACAATATCCCACACTAGAATTAAGTGAAATTAGGGAGCATAAGGCCACGTCTTCATCCATCTTCAGGTTCCTCCAGGATTCAGGGTGAGGTGAGATCTGGGGTTTACAGGTCTTACTTGGGGTCATGCAGGATCACTGCAGAAAAGTATGGCCTTGATCATGGTATTCCCAAGTTGCCCATTAACCCCTGGCTTCAGCACTCACTTTGGAGGTGAGGATATATTAGGCAGGAAAACAAACACGGACACTGAAAGACAGGGAAAACCTGCGCTGTGCTTTGCAATCCCAAAGGAGCGAGCGGAGAGCAAAGGAAACAAGGAGAAAGAAGAAAAACAAAGGGGAAGCCCAAGAGGGAGATGCTAATGCAAAGCAGCTGTTATCCCACCTGAATCCAGGGAGTTTTGGCTTCTCTGCATCCCTGGAGCAGTGCAGAGCAGCCGGAGCCTCTCCATGAGCTGATGCCTGCAGAGGGGCAAGGAACAAAGCTGCCAAAGGTGATGGGGAGGAAGGGAAATCACTTTCATGCTGTTAGCAGTGGGCTTGTTTTGCTGTTTGAAATGAGAAGGAATCTTCGGCTCAATCCCTTTTAAGCCTATTCTCCCCCTGCTTTTGAGGAAGAGAAAGGGAAGCAAAAAGAGACAACATGGATCTGCCTTCCAGCCCTTTGGATTGTCCCCTCCAGAGCAAGGACCTCATGTCTTGAAGAACTTGTGAAGCACTTAAATTTAAAGCATTTAAGCTGCTCTTTATTTAAAACAAAGTCCATCTCCAGTATATATGATCCTTCCTTTTCCCCTTTCCCCTTTTCCTTTCCCTTTTTCCTTTTCCTTTTCCCTTTCCACTTTCCCCTTTCCCTTTCCCCTTTCCCTCTTCCCTTTCCCTTTTCACTTTCCCCTTTCTCTTTTCCCCTTTCCCTCTTCCTTTCCCTTTCCCTTTTCCTTTCCCCTTCCCCTTCGCTCCCATCCCCATGTAGATGCAATTAGACAAGCCCCAATGACCTATAGGAATCCAACAGAAGGTGGTTTCCCAGTCACTACCAACGCTTCCCATTTGGACCTGACCAAGAAAAGCACTCAGCACTTCATGTGCATGTGTGGAGGAGTCAATGGGCTTGCTTCCTTTCAGTGAAGAACAACCAACCCATCACAAAGGCACATCCCTGCCCCTTGCTTTGCTTTGGGTACCACACTGTGCCTCCTCTTCCATCTCGCTTTTGCATTCTTCCTGCTGCTGCAGAGCCACAGAGCACCAGGACTCCTGTTTCTGATTCCTCCTGGGTCATCCTTTTCCTCCTCCCCCTCCATGGGGTGGGGATGCAGCCCCAGCAAGGGTTAACTTCCAGCTGCCTCTTCCCATTTTTCCTTTTAATATTGCCTGTGAAAAAAAGCAAACAGAGGCGAATCCCACCCTCTCCCTGGAGACTTTTCCTTGGCTTGCTCCAGAGAACACGGAAGAATCATGGTTTGTCCTGTATTTTCTGCTTCAGCAGCCTTGGGGATGGAGTAACGAGACCCAAAGTGAACATGGAAAGCAATAAACCCACACACTGAATAACTGATAGAAGTGGAGAGGGAAGGAGATGAAAAAGAAACCCCCGATAACATTCCCCCCGTGGCACTGAATAAACCAAGCCCCACTTTGGGACAGAGGGATGCTGGGTGGGAATTTAGCACAGACATGTAGGAAAAGGCCCCAGATCCTCCTTATTGTGGGTACAGAGTCCAAATACTTGTGGATAAACCCTTTATGGAGCAGCAGTGAGATATTTCACCTTAATATGAGCAAGTGTTTGTATCTATCTTATCTATCTATCCATCCCCTTATCTATCATCTATCTTATCTATCCATCTATCTACTTATCTATCCATCCATCCATTTTATCTATCTATCTATCTATCTATCTATCTATCTATCTATCTATCTATCTATCTATCTATCTATCTATCTATCTATCTATCTATCTATCTATCTATCATCTCCATCTATCTATCTATCTATCTATCTATCTATCTATCTATCTATCTATCTATCTATCTATCTATCTATCTATCTATCATCTCTATCATCTATCATCTCTATCATCTATCTATCATCTCTATCTATTATCTATCTATCTATCCATCTTGTAGTCTTGTGGCTGTAGGGTTTTGTGCCAAACAACCTCTGAAGCTAGAAGCAATCTCGAGTTCCCACTCAAAGCCAGGTTCAAGCCTACGTTATATATGCAAAGAGCCAATATTGTGCTTCTATGGGTAGAAATACTTAGGGTTTGGCTAAAATACTGTGGAGAATGATGCAAAGAAAGCAGCAAAATGAGGAAATGGCATTGCCATGGGTGTGGGGCTCCTCCTTTCTCCACTTGCTGCCAGGTTTTATGTGCTAAAGCACCACAGGCAGTAGCTCATTGCCCACATCTGCTCACCCCCACCATGGTTTGGGCTACCCGAGTTCACATCTGGATGCAGCCAGTGTTTCCAAGGCCTTTTCACATCTCACTGAAGAGAGAGCCCGTGTTTTCCTTTCCTGGAGAAGAGGATTTGTGTGGTTTTGCCCCTAATCTCCCATCTCCAAGCTCCTGGAGCCGATAATGAAAAGCTTCCCTCTGTGTTGGGACTGTGGCTTTCCTAGATTAAGAACCGCTCCTCAAGGAAGCCCACAGCCATAACAAACCCATTTGCTACGATAACATTTGTTTAGGATGGTGGCTGCTTTCCTGCACATGCTGCAGCTTGGCTCCTTATGGAGACAAAGTATTCCTGACTAACAAACCCTCTGGAGCGTGCCCTGCAATGGTGACATCCATCCCAGCACGGATGATTTGGGCAACCTGATCCAGTTGAAGATGTTCCTGCTCATTGCAGGTTGGACTGGAGGACCTTGAAGGTCCCTTCCAAGCCAAACTGTTCTATGATTCCATGATTTGAGTGGCATGCTGGGCTGAACTGGAGCCAAACAAGAGGTACCAGGCTAGGTGAGGGGGTTTGAGGATGCTCCAGGCTGCACCACTGCCTCCTGCATCCCATCACCACCCAAAAAAAGGACCAGTTGCAGCAGCACCAGCAGCCACATCCCCTTTCCCTTCTCACTATGGAGGAAAACCTTCTCCCTTACCCTCCTGGCACATCCCTGCCTGCTAAACATTAACATCTGCTGGGTCTAACCCAGTTAGCCGGGAGTGTTTGTATAGGCTTTGCAATCCCTGCTTCCATGTATACTCACATCGGGATTGTTTAAAGCTGATCCAGCAGGAAAATGCCTGTGGGTGGGTTTGGGAGGACGCAGGGCAATGTGACTTCTGTCCCCAAGCTTGGCATCACCTTGCTTCCGGGACACCTAACCCAACCCATGGATCGGGGTGTGAATAAAACAGGGAGAGGAAAAGGAACGGGGCAGGAGGATGACACATGGATGTTGCTGTGAAGGAGGCAGAGATGCAGCATTCCCAGTTGGCGTCACCCCCATTGGTGACAAGACCCCTCCTGTCTCAGGGTTGGGAGAGGAGGTGATGCTCGAGGGCTCGGACTGGTTTGGGTTGAAGGGACCTTAAAGCTCATCCATGGGAAGGGACACCTTCCACTACAGCAGGTTGCTCCAAGCCCCATCCAGCTCTCTCATCCTCATGGATACCCCTATTCCCCTGTAAAGGTGAAAGTGAGGGTGTGGGATTGAAGCAGGAGGGAAAGAATTAGTGATGGAGACACTCTAGACATACAACCACAAACTGGGATGCTCCTGAGCTTTCAGCCACTACTTAAGAGACTCCAAACCCTAAATGTTCACATCACATCCCAGCACATCCTATAAAAGCCAATGGAGGAAGCAAGCAGGGCTCTGACTGCAGCGGATGGCAAGGGGATGGTTTCCCAGCAGGAAGCTTTTGGGAGCAGAGGGATGGTGGGAAGAGCCCCGGGCAGCTTGATGGGTTGGCCTCAGACTTGCATTGCTGCAGGGGGAAGGGGTGGTCCCTAGGGAGGAGGGAAACGAGAGCCTCAAAGGAAGGAGAAATTCCTTCTTATTCCCTGCTTTCTCCAGAGATCCCAAGATCCCAAGCAGCCTGAGAAGGGGGCTGCTCAGCCGATGGGATGCGGGCCCTTTTGGGAAGCTTGCTGCTTCTGCTGCTGGGAATCCATCATGGGAATGTGCTCTCCAGAGGCTGCAAACCCAGGAGGGTTGTGCCTTGCCCTGAACCTTGGCTGGGAGCCCAGCTCTGATCCTGCTCCATTTAAGCCGTGCCACTAAGCCCTCGTCCCAGCCTGTCTCTAGACCTTGCCCTGCCCTACAAGGCCATCGAGTCGGATAGCTTGAACCCCCCCAACCAGCCCCAAAAGCCACTTTCTATCCCCAAACCATGTCCTTAGCCCCTTACTTCTTCAAAGCCCTCCTGCATCCAAGCCAACGTCGTATCTGCTCTCAACAAAGGCTTTCCCAGTGTCCTTTCCCGGCACTGCTGGCTTCCTCCAGCCTTTTCTGGATGTCCCCTTGCCTGGGGACATCTTGTGCTCCTCGGCACAATCCCAGCCCTCCTGCTCCATTGCACAACCTGGGTCGAATGCCAAGAGCTGGGAATTGGATGGGATTTCTCACTGGGATGATCCTTGTGGGCAACTGACTGACCTCCTTTGCGGCTCCCTGTGCTATGTGTCTAAACCAGGGCATTGGCCTCAAGCTGTGGCTGCTCAGATTTCCCCATAAGGCCACGTTTTGACTGGGAAGGGGGAAAATAAGGGGCATTTTCCATCAATTCAAGGCAAAATTGGTGCAGACTGCAGGGATCCTGGGATTAAAGCTGGGATGGGGCACTGGATGGTGCAAACTCGGGCAAGAACAGCAGGAAAGCTCATGGAAAAGGGGGAATCAAAGACCTGCACTGGGGTTTCACACTGTAGAGTTCAGTTTTCCCCATCTCTTATCTAAACCCAAAGACAGCACCTCATCGGGACACGATCCAGGCATCAAAGCATCCTTATATCCAGCATCCAGCACAGGATCAGGGGAATTAACAATTGAGATGAGGGGTTTCCAAGCTCTGGGATGTTCTGGGATGAGCTGCAACCCCCTGAGCTCCGGCCAGCTCATTCCTTTGGTTTTCCTGTGAAAAATCCCAGTTTAGGACCTGCTTGGCAGAGCTTTGCCTCCTCCCAGCTCCCCGTGAAGGAGGGAAACGGCTTGGGTTGAGCAGTTGGTGGGTCCCAATAGCAAGGCTTGGAAATTAAAGGGGTGATTCTGGGTTGTGCTTTAAGCATCTCTGCATGGAGAGGAACGTGGGGTGTCCCTGGAGTGGTGCCTCCCCTGAGCATCGGTTTCATTCTGGAGGACTTAATGCCCTGTGTTTATGAGAGCAGGAAAATATTTACTTGGGGATGAAGGAGCAGGGAGAGGGGCTGGGGTTTTATAAGCCCTGGTTTGGAAAGAGGCTTCTATAGAAATAACAGGGGATTAAAGATCAAACCCAAAAAGCAGCATCACCAACAAGCCAGCGCTGAGCAGAACAAAGTCTGCACGACCCCAAGGACGGTGCTGGATGATGGAGAGCTCAATAGGAGCCAGCCCTTCCCCGTGTTTCATGGCTTTATGTTGCTCTAGTTGAGCTCTCCTCAGCGTTCGACCCTTTACAAAGCCCTACCCCAGGCTTTCACCTCCTGCTTCCATGGTGAGGGAAGGGGGTGATGCTGATGCTGGTGGCTCTCCAGGGAGATGGGCTCAGATGAAGCCCAACCGGAGCCGCTGGCAGACAGCAGGAGGAATTCCAGCGTGGAACAGCAGCAGCCTGGATCCCGGCCGTCTGGGCTCTTGCAGGGGTAGAAATATGAAGTGCTAATTCCCTTTTCCCTAGGGATGTGGGCCAGCGTGAGCCGGGGTTATCGGGCACCCTACAGAAAGGCCACGCACGGGGGGGGATGGACCGGCGCTATTCAGCCCCACAGCACAGCCAGTTCAGCTCTTTTGCTTTCTTGTTAAAGGGCATTTTGTTTCCAGTGAGAAAAGGGCCCAAGCCAGTGACATCCATGAGAAAGGCACGTCTGTGCCCTGCCACCATAAGACCCTTTTTGTGCCCCTGATCACCAGGCGGCAGTGACACTGCCTTGGTGCTACGATGCGCCGACGTACACAGGCTGTGCATTGTGAGAGGCATTCCCAAGGGCAGCTCAGGGCCTGGCCATGATGTGGAGTGTCAGCACGACCCTCTCCTTTGGCATGAGCTCCTTGGGAAATCAATGGGGCATTGTCTGCTAAGGGCACAGCATAGAGCAGAGGACAGCTTGGAGTGGTGGTAGAGAGGTCAAGACAGCCTAGAAACAACCATATCCTGGCTGTGTCACCAGCAGCGTGAGCACAGGTCGAGGGAGGGGATGCTCCCCCTTTACTCTCATGAGTTTCCATCCCTTGACTTGCAAAACACCAAAAGGTGCAGCCACTGTCACTGATTACCCCAAAATCTGCTGGCACAAGGCTTCTAAATAACTCCTAAAGCACCCCTCTCACTGCTGGAACCCATGCAAGGACCTCGCTCTTGCTCCTCTCCTTATGGAAGCCATGCTGAAGTCAATGGAGGTTTCAACAGGGCTGGAAGGGTTCTGCAATAGAAATGCCCCCAGACCCTGCAGACACCAGGACATGGACCTGACCCAGTGTGCTTGCTGCAGATGAAGAGTGGGTTTGTTCAGCAAAGCCCTACCTGGCTGCAGGAGGGATCACACCAGGCCACAACTATGGGGATCTGGTGATGCGCAGGGATGATGGCACCACCAAGGAGTGGTGATTGATGCTTTGCTTGGCCTTGATGAAAGCCTGGCTTGCTGAGATCCCACTGCTGAGCTCAGGGGGCACCTGATTAGAGGAAGGGCTCTGTAGATAACCACAGGAAGAAGGAGGCAATGTCAGGACCGAGCAGCTCTGTTCCCAAATTCCTGCTTCATGCACATGGCATGATTTTCCCTGCTTGAATTCCTCACATCGATACAGACCACATCTGACTTCTATCCCCAGCACGTCTGGATGACTGCTGAGAGAAAGCTAAAGCTGGGAGGATGGAGATAAGGTTTCTGCTGCTGGGAATCACTTTAACCCCTTGGTCCTGGGGGCTACCTGCAGCACATCAGAAACCCTCTATGAAAGCTCCCAGGAAAGCCCTGCTTCCCTGCCTATCTCACAACACACCGATGCTCTGCAGACAACATCTCCCTCCGTGCCCAGCACAGATGATGTTTTCTGTGTCTCAGCCCCACCATAAACAATGAGTCAGCTAATCCAAACCACATGGCTGGAGGTCAACCCAGGGCATGGGCCTGATCTTGAAAAGCACAATCACATCCCCAGCAAAACCAGTACGAACCAGTGGAGAAGCACCCTCCTGCTCATGCGGGAGCAGAGCGGAGGCCCCCAGGTGTCACCCAGTGTCAGGGCTGGTGGCATCAACCTGGAGATGCTCCTCAGGCTTCCTCCATCCCCTGGACCACATTGCTTGGCAGCTGCTTCTGCCTATGCAGTCACTGCATCAACTTCTCCATCGCTTGCTGCTCCATCCCTCTTCCTTTAGGGGCTATTTCCATCCCCATTTGGGGCTCCTTTTTCTTTTGTTTCCCTGTTCCTCACCTTTCTCCCTTCCAAAAGCCTGGCTTGGACATGCTTGCATGGAGGAAAATCCAAGCCCCAGCCAGCTGCCAGCTCTGCCTTTGGCCTATTGCTCTGGTTTCATGTTTGACTCTTAATTCCACAGCTTATACAGCAGAGAGCTCCGGGCCAAAGAGAATGTCTCAGGAACCTGCCAGAAACCTCAGCTTTTCCTAAGCTCCATAAACAGCTTCCTGCCTCCATCCCTGCACCTGCTGCCTGTGCCATGCTGCAGGATGGGGATGCTGGTCCGTTCCGGGGTGGGGGGGGGAGGATGGATGTCCCTGGGGTGTTCCACACTGCCCTGCAAACACTGCACTGCTCTCTGTGCCAATGGGAAACGAGCTAATGACATTGCTCCCTCGGGATCAGGCTGTTTTTCCTGGCAGGTTGGGCACCAGCCCTGTCCAAAAACGTGCATTCCTGCTCTAAGTTGTTTGCACAACTTCTTTATCCTGGGGTGTTTCACAGGCTGGAGCATCCTTAGAGGGCTTGGTGCCCACACGGCCGGTGCCTGATCCCTGTGCCTGGAATCTGGGTCTGAAGGAGGAGGATCTGTTGTTGATGGGCTCTTCCTGCAGCATCTGAATGTTGTGCCAAGCTCACTTGAGGCTGGAACAGTGGAGAAATTCAGTGTCACTGTCAGCTCCTCCGTGACCATGGGGCAATCCAGGAGGCAGGCAAGGAGGGAACGGGGACAGGGATGAAGGTGTCCAAGGCAAATGGATCCCCGGGAAAGCACCAGCCATGGGAAGAGAAGAAAGGAAAACACTCAACTCCTTGCTTACCTGAACCATTGCATTCCATACTCTTCCATTTCCACATGAGTAAAACCAAAGCAACCACTGCAGTGACTTTGGGATGGAAGTGGAACATCCTAATGGAAGTGGAACATCTAAAAGAAGAGAACGTGCTATGATTAGAAGCTTTATCTTCCTGTTGAGATACTCTTTGGACACTGAAGTGAAATGTCTTTTTTCATGTCCTTTTCCCTCTCTGGATGCTTTCTGAACAAATAAAACCTCTGATGCCAACAAGCAGCAGGATCAGGGCCTGAGGTACTTATTTCTGCCTGCTGTGTTTGAGATGAGGTCAGTGTGATGCTGCCTCAGTTTGCTCTATCTGCAGTGGCACTTTCGGAGCAACAAATGCCTTTTAATCCTCCTCCTGACCAGCTTTTGCTGGGGATGGCCCACTTCATCCTGGTGAGGATGCTGTGAATTACCAAGCACCATCTACTTGCACCTTACGTATTAACTCACTCTTTACCTGGAGGTGACATGGGACATCCTCATTGCTTTGCTGAACTGGCAAACAACCTCTTCTCCATGTGGTCTTGCTCATCCCTGCCGATCCCTGAGGCTTTCTGTGGGTGTTCCGCATGGACAGGACCTGAAACAACACATAAAAGGTGGGATGAGAAAAGCAGCAGGTGATGGGCAAACTGTTGCTCTGCACAAGAGCAAGGCAAAATCTCCCCTTGAGGGCAGGACTTCACCCATAAACTAATCATAATGGGGAATGCAGAGCTTCAGTTCATTCCATCGGTGGCGTCCTTCCCGAGTGGGAGATGAAAACCAGGAGGGTTTTACTGCGGGACATCAATCAGTTTCCTCCTGTATAAAGCACCTGAATACCTGAGCTCGCCCTGAGGCCTAAACCAATGAGTCCAGACTCCACTTTGCTGCTCGGTTAATTCCTGCTGGCAGCTGGCTCCATCCATCTCCAGCACAGGCACGTAACTCAAGCCTGGGACCCGTGTTGATTTACAGCTTCAGCAAGGGAATCAGCACAAAATCATGGCAGTGCAAACTGATGTTTTCCTTCTCATGTGCAAGGTGAAAGGTCCTGGGACTGAGAGCAACAGCCCTGGGCTCGCATGGGGAGACAAACCACAGGCTGCTCTCACCCGTGTCTTCCAATACCTAAAGGGGCTCCAAGAAACCTTTAGAGGGGCTTTGGACAAGGGATGCAGGGATAGGACAAGGGGAATGGCTTTAACCTGACAGAGGGGAGACTGAGATGAGCTCTTAGGCAGAAGCTCTTCCTTGTGAGGGTGCTGAGGCGCTGGCACAGGGTGCCCAGAGAAGCTGTGGCTGCCCCATCCCTGGCAGTGTTCAAGGCCAGGTTGGACACAGGGGCTTGGAGCAAGCTGCTCCAGTGGAAGGGGTCCTTGTCCCTGTGCGTGGTCCCTCAAAACCCAGTGTGAATCCATGTGAGATCCCAGTTAACCGCAGAGGAAGCAGAGGGTAATGATGCCCTTTAGGTGTACTGACCAAGTGTGCAATGTTATACGGGATGACTCTGGAGCAGCGTAAAGGAGTCTGTTTCCCAGCATGTCCATCTCTCCTGTGTGCTGTTCTGCTGCCACTACAGGAATGTGGAGTTTTCAGGACTTCAAAGCCCCTTTTCCAGTCTGGGCTGTGTGATCCAAGCCAAAGTGCAGCCTTAATCCATCATCCACAAAGAGGGATGTTTGTATATTTGTGTAAAATGACAGATTGGAGAGACCCGGAGCTGGAAACCAGATGCTTTCCCAAGAAATGAAAAGAGCTCGGGATTTAGACATGCAGGAACACAGGGAAGAAAACATCACTGTGGCTACTGCCTTGAAAAACACTGATCCTTGGCTTTCCAGAGCCTGTTGGATGGGGAAAGGCAGCATCTCCATGAGCATCCCAGATGAAACAAGGAAGATGAGATGACATGACCGAGGTCCCACAGTAAGTCAGTGCTGGAGTGCAAAGCAGCAGCCAGTTGTCCCTCTGGATGAGAAGAGGTTCTTAGTCTTCAGTTCCCAATTGTTTCACCATAAATAAGTCCACCCTGGGGCCTGTCAACATCCATCATCACTTAGAGCTCACTCTCTTTTCCAAACAAATATCCATCAGGAAGGGTGGATATCACATGGAACAGTTGGTCTCTGGGAAGTCTCTTCATCGCATCGTCCCACTGGTCCCTCTCCAAGTTGAATAGCAAAGGACAGTAGAGGGCTGAAACCCTTCACAAAGTGCTACCAAGCTATGAAAGCACGTGGTGATTTCCTTCCTGGCCTGGATTTCTTTCTTTCCTTGCTTTTTTTCCTCTGTAACTGTTTGGATTTGGTCAGAAGCAGGAAAAGCTGCTCTTTGTTAGAGCTGAAAATCCCCCCATGAGAGCCAGAGCTGTGAGATCTGATGTTAGGCTTGGGCTGTGCAGATGGAAAGGAAACTTCCTGCACGATCCCAAGAAGAGGGGCAGCTCCTGCTGTCCTCCAGCATCTCCTGATGATCCTGAAGTCTTTCCTAACCGAGCCTGTTCTATGGTTCCATGATCTCGTGGGCACAAGCTTCATGTGGGGCTATGGGATGCTCTTCGCACCCTCTGTTAAAAGCCATCCAAGGTGGACTGAAATCCCTCTGTGCCCTTCTGCAGGGCTTTACCAGCCCTCAAACAGCCCCTGGGAGAAGCAGCAACTCCCCATCACAGCCCCATCCACATGGAGCACGTGAGGAAAAAGCATTCCCATCCCTGACTGAGCAAAGGATGCTGCTCCATCCATCCCTGCGGACACATTCCCGGTGGGATGGTGGCTGAGAGCCAGGCGGGGTGTTAACAGTTTGATGTTAAGGCTGCTACAAACGTGCAGGGGAAGCTGGAAAGCAGCTGAGTCTGTAAAAAGGAAGAACAGGCCCCAGGTGCTATCCAGGAACAGGGGAAATTGCTTTTCTTCAGTGTTTTGGAAGTGCTGGGAAGCTTCTCAGCCACCACCATGGGGATCAACTGTCGGCTCCTGGGTCCTGCTGGTCCATGGGAAAACCACTGGGATTCCTTGTGCTGCCTTGTGCATCTAAGAGGGTATTTGTGCACTGATGTGCCCGGAGGTGAAGCATTCCCAAAGGCCCATGCAGAGAATCCTGTTTCGTGATGAGCCACGTGTCCGATGGGGGTGACCACTGGTATGCGTGGCAATGCCAGCAGTGAATGAAGCTCCTCCCTGGGGAAAGGGCTCCATCGGTGTTGCTTGCAAGATTTGCCACATATTCATGCTTTTTCCCCCCAAAATATCTCCTTGGAAAACGCCTCCTGTGTTTGGATTCCAAGCAAAGGAAGCCCACGCTTTGGATTGTGCAAGGAATCACTTTTAGCTTTGAAAGCTGCCTGAGTTTAGCCAAACGTGGGGAACTGACTTGGAATTGGATCCGTGGCCATTGGAAGGGCTTAAGAGAGCTTTGAGGAGTCTGCTGACATGGGAGGATTGGCCTGTTGTCACCTTTCAGATGCAATGAGTGGAGCTGGCTGCTGCAAGACAAGCAGGAGGGAGGACACACGAGCCCTTGCAGTGATAGGTGCTGTGGAAGCATGGATCCGGAAGACCATCCCTGCATTAAACTGCTCATCCACAAGGATTTGGGCTGCTCCTGCCTTCTCCTGGGCTTGCAGACTGCTGGAAATGAAGGTTGGAAGGAAGGGATGGGGAGGAAAAAGAGCAGAAAAGAGATAAAAGGACAGAGAGAATGGGTTTTACCATTGAACTTCTTTCTTCAAGTGGGAGCTGCTTTAATAACATGCACAAGGAGTGAATAATACCTTCAAATATTCCCAGAGAATGAATAATATGGAATAATATTCACCGAGCATTTATTTGACTAATTTCCCTTAGTGTTTTTGGATCAGGATCTAACAGTCCTGGATCTTAAAGGGGAGATCTGCATTTGACTTCCTTGGGTCTGGATCAGGCCCCAAACACCTCAAAACCCCCATGTTCAAGGAAGCATCACCAAGGGGTCACCCAATATAGCTCCAGTAAATGCGTGGGTCACTTTTCCCTGCTGATCCACAAATACATTATGTGCCAGTAAATGGAAGCAGAAGTGGCTTGGCCAGATGTTCCATAGAGGCCCCAGGGAGTTGTGGTGCAGCAAGGGTGAAATGGGGGGGGGGAAGGGGAAAAAGAAGCCCATAAAACCTAAAATATTAACATCCCAACCTCGTGTGCAGCAGCTGTGCCCCTGTTATGGAGTGAGGTGCAATGCCCTGGCCGAGGGGGACGTGCCAAAAGCAGGATATGGGAAAAGCCTGTTTCAAACCCAGGTGGGTTAAACCTTTATTCCTGTCTGAATTACATCTGAATGCTCTGGAGGTGTTGGTGGGACACACGCTGGGATGGAATGAGGTTGGGGTGAGGGTCCCCAGGGTGTCCTGCTAACCATGCCCACAGGTGGCATCTCCTTATCATAGAATCCCAGCATGGTTTGGGTTGGAAGGGACCATGAAGCTCATCCAGCTCCAACCCCCTGCCACAGGCAGGGACACCTTCCACTAGAGCAGCTTGCTCCAAGCCTCATGCACCCTTTCCCACCCTCCTGTTATTTACAACCCACTTTTGCCACCTACAACACCTGGTCCTTGAGCCCTGTGTTACCTCTTACTCCTTCAGGTCAGCTCCATCCCGATTTCAGTGCTGGGATGGTCCCCAAAGCAGCTCCTTTTCCAGGCAGTTGGACATCTCCTGGTGTTTGTCCCATGGGTACTGCTCAGCTCCTGTCTCCCATGGGAGAAGCAGGCAGGTTGAATGTCTCTGTATCTTCTGCAAGGCTCGGCTTGCTCCTCTTCCTGATGCAGATCCCTCTCAGAGCTTCCTGAGTTGAAGAATCACTGTGAATTCACCACGAATTAAAGCCTTGAATTAAATCCCCTCCATAGTGCTCTGCCACTCCAGACCCACCCGGTGACACCCTACAAATAACCCCCCATGTAGATGTGTCTGCACTGGGGTGCACAGACTGATGTGTGACCAGTATGGGTGTTGATGGACCAAGAAGAGGTGCCAGATAGGCTGCGTGGCTACAAGAAGTGGGAACAAGAAGGAAGCAAACCTCAACCTCTGCCTTGGAGGGTCTGAGTGCTCCATAACCCATCAGAAAGTGGAGTTTTACAGATAAAGAAGGCCCCTTTGGTTTGTTGTTGCAGCTGGGAAGAGAAGGGAACGTTCCCACGGAGGAAACACCCTCTTTAACGGGGGTTTTAATCCTTTCCTCTCTTCTTGTGGTTGGGCTGAGCTGCATCAAGTCCCTGCAGCTCTCCCCAGCGCAGGATTTTCTCCCTTTCCAGTAAACTGCAGTTACCATGGAGAGGGCTGAGACAAGCCAAATGCAAAACACTGGAAAACTACACCCGAAGCTCCGTGCAGCCCTATCAAACAGTTAATTAGAAAGAGGGTCCATGTGTTTCCCATTCCCTGGAATGGTTTGAATCAATGGCCCTGTGATTTATCACCTGCTCGCTGCGCGAACGGCGCAGCTCCGCTCTCGTGCATGTTCCTCTGCTGTACAGAGAAAAAAAGGGGATATTGAGACCTTACAGAACAAGCCAGTCATCAAATACCCAATCCTCCCAGGGGAAATCTCCCACTGGAATGATACGCTTTGGATCTCGGTGGGATTTCTGCCCTTTGGCAACAGGGGAAAAGGAGAGGGAGCTTTTGCCTTGCTTTGATTGCGAAGGGTGGAAGATCCCGCTGTGCCTGGCCGTTCCCAGGGCTGTGTCAGACTGTGCCCAGATGGAAATGCAGACCAGGGTGTTTCCCTGGGGCTGCTTCCTTCCCCACTGCACGTGAAGCTGGGCGGGTGGGAAGCGGGAAGGAGGTGGCTGGAGAGGAGAGAGGGAGCAGAGGAAGAAATCCATGCTTCCCACAAGATCGTGGAATGGTTTGGGATGAAGGGACCTTAAAGCTCATCCAGTTCCATAGGCAGGGACCCCTTCCACTGGAGCAGCTTGCTCCAAGCCCCTGTGTCCAACCTGGCCTTGAGCACTGCCAGGGATGGGGCAGCCACAGCTTCTCTGGGCACCCTGTGCCAGCGCCTCAGCACCCTCACAGGGAAGAGCTTCTGCCTAAGAGCTCATCTCAGTCTCCCCTCTGTCAGGTTAAAGCCATTCCCCTTGTCCTATCCCTGCATCCCTTGTCCAAAGCCCCTCTCCAGGTTTCCTGTAGCGCCTTTAGGGACAGTTACAAGATCTCTTGATGCATAAATCGTCACCCACAAGAGGTAACACCTCATTGCACGCTGTGCTGGTGGCTGAGGTGCTTCAGTGACATGGCAAAGTGGAAAGCGGGTGGCCCAAGAGCAATGTGTTAATAGGGAAGCACCTGGAAAGCCATTCCCGAGGCCTGCTGTGTCCTTCCCTGCTCCCCCTGTGCAAGGCAGGGGAGGGCAAACACACCTTGGTCTTGTTCTGTAGGCAAATGCTTTGAAGCAGGGGTGATTCCTCCCACAGGGACAGCCCTAGCATCCAGAAGAGATGTCCTGCAGGAGATCCCTTTGTGTTTCAGCTCTTCCCAAAGCCAGCTGACCTGGTTGTCTCTCTGCCATCTCCTTTTGCATCCTAAGCTGCCAAGGGATGCCTCTGCAGTGGATTCACGAGCCGGGATCACCCAAGATGAACATGGGAATACTGGAGTCATCCATTCCCCTGCCCTGCTGAACCCCTGGCTGGGATGTGTGGGGCTGCTTGGGAATCCTGCACGTTCATGTACCACATCCCCCAAAGCAGCTGTTGGGCTGGAAGGTGCTGCACCTCTCCTGATCCACATTCCACCTTTCCTGCCAAGACTGGGGGGAGAGAGGGAATAAAAGCTGCTTTTCCTTGCATTAGCAGATGATTGAAAAACCTTGCAGCAAGCCCAGCCAAGTGTGAGAGATACCAGCTCCTTTCAGAAGGGTTTCACTGCAGGGTTTGGGAGGGAAGATCCCACTTAAGAACACTGGGAATGAAGATGTTTTCCTCCCACAGCAGAGGATGCGACAGAGAAAGTCCTTATTGGAGGGGAAACTGAGGCAGAGATAAGAAGTGGAGCTGGAATTGTCCTTTATCCACATCCTCTGCTCCCACATTGAACATAGAATGCACAGACTGGCTTAGCTTGGACCCTATTTACCTTGTCACTGCTCTGCTTGCAGCCAGCCTCAATTCTGCCCCAATGCTGGCCATATAAATGCGGCAGCATCCCTGTGTGGTACATGGGGGTATCTGCTCCATGTCTTCAGATGGGGCAGAGGGCTGGAGGAGGTCCCTTCCTTCGATAGAAAAGGTGAGGTTTGTGCCTCAGTTTCCCCTCTCACTGCAAAGGAAACAGCTGGTGGCAGGGAGTGCACGGTGCTGCCTTGGGAAGGTGTGAATGGATGAAAACCCCACAGGGATGCTCTGTTCTGCCTGGGAAGCTGCTGTTTCTATTGCAGTCTGCAAGGAAGGAAACTGGCCTCAAGCAGCAGGGAAAAAGAGACATTTCCCAGGAATTCCCACAGGTTTCCCCACCCTGGGAATGAACAGAAACAGTGCAGGTGTCCCGTGAGGTCGCTGCATCCCTTGGTTAAGCAGGGATGCTCTGGGAACAATCCTGCTGCAGGTCAGGAGCGCTCCTTAAGCTGGGAAGCTTCTGCAGTGGTTTTCATCTCAGCCTTGCAGCAGTGACCCTGTGAAGCCACAAGGAAACCACTGACGCCTCATTGTGGGGCTGTGGGATGCTGCCCCCCAAGCCTCAAGGTTGTCAGCAGGAGCCAGCTCTGCTCATTGCTCCGGGCCCCTCTGATGGAAATGGACGTGGGGTTTGGGGCTGCTCGTGGGGAGCTTCCCAGCAAAGCCAAGGGAAGAACGGGCTGTTTCCTACAGGAAAAAGGGGAGAGGTTGTGCTGAAGGGCCCGAAAGCTCCCAGCAGGAGGGAAGAACACGGCAGAGAGGTTTGCAAGGCCGAAGGGAATGAGGCTTGCAAAGAGGAAGGACCTCTGTGGAGTGCTCCGGGGAGAAGCGGCTTGGGAAGGAGGAGCGACGGATGTGTGAGTGATGGATCCAAGGTAATGCCAGCTGGGATCCAGCTCAAACGGGCAGCTTGTCACCAGTGTCACAACAGCCCCTCTGACAGATTCAACCCCATTCCTCCCATCGGTGACTTCCAAATCCCTATGGAAGTGTTGCAGCAGTTAGGGGACTCTTTCCCCAGCCTGAGGGGGATAAAGCTTTGCATCCCGTTGCATTAACTCCTTTTGGTCCCTCAGGACTCTGCCAGTGCCCCACAAATCACAAGCAGAGCTGCCAAAACTGCTACACAGGCTTCCAACAGGGTGTTTGTCACTGCTGTAACCTGCAGGGGGAAAGGATGTGGACGAGCTGAGGCAGAGTTTGCTTTGCAGGTGCACGTGTGCCTTATGCAAGGGGGAAAAAGCCAACCCACTGTGCTTGGAAACATGAAGAGCTAAACCTGCTTGATGTGCAGGTCTCAGTGTGACACAGGTGCGGGGTAGGGGGGGATGATGGCAGGGGTGTTGCTGGCCAAATTTATGTGTAGTGATGGGGCAAGGGGGAATGGCTTTAAACTGATGGAGGCATTGAGATGAGATCTTAGGACAAAATTCTTCACTTTGATGAGTTTTAAGGTCTTTTCCAACCCAAACCGATCTGTGATTCTATTCTATGATGATATACCCATCATTACATATATATCATAATATATATATTATATATAATCATCCAGAATATAATGGTCTCTGATGGAAAGCTGGGTGGAACAAGTCCAGGACAGGGATGCAGGGCCAAGCACTCACAGTGATTAGGTCCCAAAGATGCAGGTAGACATCTAGAGCCATTTACAGAGAGCTCTGGACCCCTACTTCTAGCTGAGTCTATATTGCTCTGAACACAAACCCCTTTGCTATGGCTAAAGCCAGGAACACAAAACTACACCAGCAAGTCGGACAGGGCTTGGAGCAAGCTGCTCTAGTGGAAGGTGTCCCTGCCCACAGCAGGGGGTTGGAGCTGGATGAGCTTTAAGGTCCCTTCCAACACAAACCAATCTGGGATTCCATATACATGGAATGGAAAGGACTGGAGCCTTGTGATCCCAGCCTTTCAAATAGCTCCAGTTGATGTAATGATCCAGGTAAGCACAGGAGATGCTGCAACCCTGCTCTGGGTGAATGCAGGAGGCAGGTTTCGGTGCTGGGTTCTGCTGCCTTTCCATTTAGCAGGCAGACTGTGTGCTTTGGGCCTTTTAGGCTGTTTAATGGGGTATTATTCGTTTCTGGCTGGCTGTTGCTTTGAGCAATGGCTCCCAGGGGAGCTCCTGTCGGTTGCCAGACGGAATGACATCAGGCAGACGCTCAGAGCAGGGATCAAAAGGCAGAGCCTCATTTCTTCATCACAGGCTCTGGCAAAGCACACGGTGAGGCTGAACACACCAGGTCCTGATGCTGCTGGGGGTACAGGGGAGAGAGGAGGAGGAGGCTGCTCACCCCCAGCTTGTGCATCACCACCCCCCAGATCACCCAGGGATACTTCCAAAGTATATTCTACTTCAAAGCAAAGGAAAGGATGTGAAGTAGGAGCTGATGCCTTCCCAATCCTCATTATCCCTTATCATTTCACTGTGCAAGTTTCCTCTACCCTGGTTTATAGCCTAGGTTTCCTGTTTCATCCATCAGAGCACTGTCCCTGACTTCTCCAGCTCCCATAGTGACTGACCCCCAGAACGGTACCAGTTTAAGATCCAACATCCAATGCTTTGTGCTTCATGGAATCCCAGCCTGGTTTGGGTTGGAAGGGACCTTAAAGCTCATCCATTCCCAACCCCCTGCCATAGGCAGGGACACCTTCCACTAGAGCAGCTTGCTCCAAGCCCCATCCTTGAACACTGCCAGGGATGGGGCAGCCACAGCTTCTCTGGGCACCCTGTGCCAGCGCCTCAGCACCCTCACAGGGAAGTCTGCAATCAGCTCATGCCAGAGGATGAGTATATATTGAAATACAACACACGAGACCTCGCTTACCTGTGCATTCTGAGTTGTTTCCTCCTCTGGAGCCACGCTCCCATGATGTGTCTTCAAAAGGAGCATGTCTCGGCGGCGTTTCCCAGCTCCCAAGTGCAGCATTTCAGAGCGTCTCACAGCTCTGTTTGCTGATCCCTGTTCCTCTCTTCCTTAGAGCAGCATCCAGAAGCACGAGGTTGATGAGAGACAGTCAGATCCTCCCTGTTGGATGGGCACAAGACCAGGAAAAGAAGCCATCAAAAGTTCACCGTTGCCTCAATACCCGCCTGTGGACCCTGCAGAAATCCAACAGCTCCCAGTCAGAGCCCCTGCAAGACCTGAAACTCAGCTCCGAGCCATCTCGAGCTGCAGCTACATCTGGCTTTTAGTTTCTCCTCACTGCCTCCTCTTTTCAAGTTGCTCATAAATTCTTTGGATAGAATTCCTTCTGGGCTAAAGCTTCCTAGGTTCGGGCATTCTTCAGCTGGACATCAGAGAAGAAAAAAGGTAGAAAAGCAGAGAAAATAGGTCTGGCAAGTCGTATTTTGTCATGTATGTGCCCCCAGCCACCATTCCCCAAAGCTTTCTGCCCCTTGGTCAGTGTGCAAACTGGGAGAGCATGGTTGGAAAGCCATGGAGGGGCTTGGATCTCCTTCATCCCAGCCCTTTCCTCTGGCACTTTTGCACAGGAACAAGCCAGATACGGCTCTATTCCCTGCTCTCCATCACCATGGGATGTAAAGCAGAGGCAGGCAGATAGGGATTTCGCAGGCTGGGTAAGGAGGGGCCAGAGTTTATCATGATTTTGGGGTAGCATCAGCTAGGACAAAACCTCATCCTGAGCTCCCATCATCACACATGGTCCCCAAACACCTTTGTTCCCCAGCTAACCCCCTGATTCTTGACAACATGCAAGAAGCAGCATGTGAAAATGCTAAACCCCTCTGTTCTCTATATATCGAAGGTGAATTTGTGCTCTCAGCACTGTAAGAGGTGGCTGAGATGCCTTCAGGTACACAGGAGTCTTGTGTGAGCATCATCCGACAGCCTGGGTACCCCAGATGGCTCTCCCTCCTCTCCATCTCCTTCCTGTAAGCAGGCTCCATGGGGGACTCCTGAAGAACAACCAGGAAATGAGGCTGTACAAGAACATTTTCCCTCTCCTCTCTTACTGTTTAACACACTGGATTATTCAGGAGCAGTAGGAACAAGCAATGCATCCATAGGAAAAGATGAAAGCAGGGATTGCCTGGGGTGGGAGCGCTCCCTTAGCCCAGGAGCTGAGAACTTGCCTGGGCAACAGAGAGCCTGTTGTCAGCCCAACACAGGAGATCATTTTCCATTCATGCTCCATGCCCATTGTCTGGCCCACAATGGGCATCCCCAGCCTCAGGGAAGGTGGTGGGACCACGTTGGGGTGAGTGTCCTGCCCTGTGCACACAAGGGATGCAGTGTGGTCCCTCCTGGCTCAATTCACACACGGAACAGGGCTTGGAGGAATTTTCTCCTTTCATTCCTGATGGAGCTTTCCTCCAGGCTCAATTCCCACTTTTCCAGCCAAGTCTGCAGGACACGGACACCCTGGTTGAATAGATAACACACAGGCACAGACTTTGAGTAAGGAAATCCACCCAGACTTAGTCCTTACGCACCCATTGGGTCAAACTTCTCTCCTAGTGTTTTCAAGGGTGCCTATAGGATTTACGATGAGGATCTCTCCAACTGAGGATAAGTTTGGGAAAGGCCTTGATGTCATTTAGGCTGTTTTGCATCACTTAAATGACTTGGCCTTATCTGCAAATACAGATGCAGAGCAGGGAATGTTTTACCTCCTCAAGGATGCTCTGGGAGTAGGGATCCTATATCCACACGTAGAACCATCCTGCCAATTAAATTCATGCCCTTACTACAGCATTTCTCTTCCATGTCCCCTTCCAAGCCCTTCAATCACAGCCCATGAGCACGTGGAGATGGGCTGACCCCGTGGTCTTCATAAATCTGGACCTGAACAAACAAAAGAAGAAGTAATGGGGGGGGGGGGGGGACCCCAACCAGATCCCATTCCCAACGCCTGGCATCACATCCCTTGCTGGCAAAATCCATCTGGCTCCGGGTGAGATGGACACCAGGCAACTGATCCGGAGAGGTTCTGGAAGAGCCGGATTCCATGGAAGAAGCTCTCTGGGATGGAGAAGGGCAGCACGAGGGTTGACACCAAAGGCTTCTTCCAGGAAGCTCCTCCAGTTCCCTGTTGGAAGGGAGCTGCTGGGAGAACTCAGGGAGAGCCCCCTAAAAGCAGCCCTTGCATCCCTTGCTCCACGCTCCTAAAATCCACCATTCCTGGATGCAGCCTTGCCCAGAATCATTGCCCAAGAGCGAGGCTATGAATAGCTGGAGCAATAACGCCTAACACATGGCTGTCCAGCTGCCTTTCCCACATCAACCACCTCATCAAGCGATAAGGGGAGGAAACCGGGAACGGCTTTTCCAGCCGGAGCCACAACACGAGATGAAGGATGCAGGAAACGTTCCCCCAAGCTTCCATGTCCCTCCTGCCAAAACAAGCAAACAAACAAACATCTCCAAGTTCAGCCTGGCTTTGTGCGGGGCTATCGGGAGCCGGGGACGAGGCTGGTTTTACATCCCAGCTGGAAGATCGCTTTGCTGGCAGCCTGCAGGGATGGCGACGGGAATGCTGGTCCATGGCCAATGTGGGTGACAGGACACACACAACAATGGCCCCGGATGGAGCTGGAAGGTTTCGATAGCAGCTGAAATGGGGAATCAGCAACATTCCTTCCCCCCAGAGGCTGCCGTGGCAGGGATTAAAGGAGGACTAAAGTTCAAGGGGAGCGGGAGCCAGCGTTGCTCAATGCTGGCAAAAGGTCCCCAGTCATGGAGAGTGCTTTGCATCCCAGAATGGTCTGGGTTGGAAGGGACCTTAAAGCTCATCCAGCTCCAACCCCTGCCACGAGCAGGGACACCTTCCACTAGAGCAGCTTGCTCCAAGCCCCATCCAACCTGGCCTTGAAGGCAACAAGGATTTGGGTTTCAGCTCACAGGGAGATCACTGCCCATGCATCCACTGAGCCTTACAGAACCTCACAGCAGGACATTGAAAGCCCATGGTGCCCTTCTGAGAACCTCCTGGTTTGTGCTGCTCCCTTCTCCCTGCTGCTGGAATCTGTGGAGCTGCTGCCTCTGCTTGGGATGTGGAGCAGCCCCAGCCCCAGCCCCAGGGCTGGATGGAGCCACGGATGCTGATGCCTGGGCACACTGTACGTGATCCAAGCTGCAATCCCAAACCACCTCCATCGCGCTTGTGACAGGCATGGTGGCCCAGAGCCAAAGCATGTCCAGCGGTTGCAGCAGGGCTCTCCACCCCATGGCAAAATAGAAGGAGGAATGAACATGCCCAGCATAGCAGGCATTAAGAAATTCCCTGCTCTTCCTGCACACAGGAGCCTCTCATGGCCAAGACCTCTCCCTTGAGCCTGTGGTTTCACCACAGGCAGATGAAATCGAGGAGATAGGCTCCGAAAGCTTTGATGTGCAACCACCACCAGCCTCCTCTCTGCTATTCCTCCTCCCTCGCGCCAAGCTGCTGTAATAGATGCTTCCCCTCTGCCCCCGTGACTTGAGGGTCCCTGCACAGATGAATTCATCACTCACATCACAGCCACAAGGCGGGAAGGCCAAGGAAAACACGCATCCATCCATCAGCAGAGGCTTGATGAAGCTCTCCCCCTCTTGGAGGGATTCACCCTGGGACTTCAACGCAAAGCGATGGCTTCAGTGAGGCGAGGCGGGATGGGAGCTGGAGCTCACCAAGCTGCATCAGCCCTGCAAATCCCACCGAGCACAGAGGGATGCTGCTGACAGGATGAATTGGGGAGGAGCACAACCCAACTCCGAGGTGGTCCCAGCCTTTGCCAGCCAAAATGCTGTACTGAAGAAGAAGGGGAAGGTGTCGGTGCTGCACGTGCTGGTGGTGCTGGTAAGAAGGCAGCACGGATGGGATGGATGCCGTTAGCTCACAGCCGCTGACCTTTCTGAACTGTAGAACAAAACCAGTGTCCTTATGGTTTAAAATAGCCCCCCAAAAGGGAAATAAGGAAAGGGAAAGCGAGACAGATTCCCATGAAGGCAGCAAAGCCCAGAGCTTCCCTTCATCTTCCCATCTTGCCTTCCCGCAGAGGCACGGCTGGACCCTGGCTCATCTCCAGCCCCCAGCTGGGCGAGCAGCGAACATGTTCCAAGGCAACAAACCATCTGATCCGTGTGACACAGGGAGCTGAGGGGCACTGAGATGCTCCCATTCCCATCACAAAGGAGCAGGAATCCTGCTGGACCAAGCGGGATAAAAGATGCTCCATCACCGTCCGCACCGAGCGGATGAAGGGATGGGGTTTTTTGCTTAAGATGGGAGGATGAGTGAGGCTGGGGGGGTCACAGCCAGCCCAAAGGCAGATGGGGTGGGCATGGTACCAGGCATTAGCAGAGGGAGAGCAGGGCTGGGAACCATAACCCCATGCACACGTCTCATGGCTCCTGCCCGGCTGCTGGCATCAGGATACTTGTAATCCTGACTAATCCAACCTTTCCATAGGCTGTCAGCACAGGACATGCCTCAAGGAGGCCTCCTCCACCTCCCACCTCAGACCAGTCAAACCTGCTGGGTGCAAACCCCTCAGAGAGCTTGGTGCCTCTCCATAAGGGTGACTATGCTGTGTGCTAAATTGGTCTTTGCAGGGTTAATCCTATGGGAATGCAGCTTGAGAGCTCTGTCTCCATGGGATGTGATAGGAGCCCCGAGGAGGAGGGCTCAGCAGACACAGCCACGGCAGCACAGCCATGGAAGCAGTTGGCCAAAGTCAACAGTGATGTTGGGAGAGAAGGATCATGATGGATCTGAACATGCCCCATGTTTGCCTGGAGCTAAAGGATAAGGAATGTATGTGCTGACAGGGTGCTGGCAAAGAAGAATAAGGGAAACAAGAGGTTGCAGCAGGTTCTCTCCGTGCCTTGGTCCCCCCTTGAGTGGATTTGGGTCTCTTTGGATGGGAGACAGCGCAAGAGGGAACCAAGATCAAGGCCTTAAGAAGTTGTTGGCACTGCTGTAAGAAATAGGTGCTTACCACAACATTCTCCTGCCATTGGGGTCCATTTCTCCCTCACATTATTTACTGTTAAGTTGGGTCTGATAAAACCCCTAATTTATATCTGGTGGGAGCCCGGGTTCTTCCCTCCCACTGGCTCCAGCAGATCCAAGTGCTGTAACTGCTGATCTAAGGGGAATGTGCTGCTCACGCTCCCATCGGCATGTGATATATCATGATTAACAGCCTCTCCTTCGTGATATTACCGGCCCCAACCCGTGATCTTGGGAAGGATTCAAAGCCTGGCTTATCAGCACAAAACTAAGCTGCTTCAGCTTAAAGCAGCAAACCTCAGCTCAGGCTGGAGGTGATTTATTACGAACCATGGGCTCTGGAGACAGAGAGAGGGAAAGGAAGCCACAAACCCCACAGCCAGCCTGTACAAGTTCCAGGTTCTAATCTAACGCAAGTGACTCCGTGGCTCAGGCTGAGAAATCATCAGGGATTCATCACAAGGTAGAGACCAGCAGCTACAATGAGTACATAGGCAGGAGCGATGCTCCTGCATCCTCGCTGGGTACCCCCATCTTCCATGCGCAGGACTGGGGTGACAAGGGGGATGTGGCACGTCTCTGGGATGTTCCAGCATCCTCTGTTTCGCTACGAGTAGCTGCAGTGCCTCTTTTGGGCAGCATCCCCTCTTACCCAGGCAGAAATACTTCCTTCTAGTACCCAATCATTCATTAAAAGCAGGCAGCTCTATGCTAAATACATCAAAATCTCACCGAAACCAAGGCAAATGAGCTAAAAAGGTACTTCACACTGGCAGGTTTTTTACAAGAGCAAGACAAAGTGCTGGAAACCAAGTGAAAAGGTATCAGAAACAAGGTGTTGCATATGCAAAGCCTTTAGATTTGGAATAAACTCTCTTTTTTCCCACCAGGAAGCTGTTACATCCCACATCTTTCATACAGAAAACACTAAAGGTGTTATTAATCATCACCAAAATCCGAGGACAAAAGCATCAAGGCCAGGTTGGATGGGGCTTGGAGCAACCTGGTCTAGTGGAAGGTGTCCCTGCCCACGACAGGGGGTTGGAACTGGGTGAGACCCAAACCAGGCTGGCCTCCTATGATCTAGGACCTTCCTTTCCCTGCTGACAGCCCAAAAGCTGTTGTGCTGTAAAGCAGGTTATATGGATACAAGAACAGTTATGTGGGGATGGCAATGTGCTGAAGGGGCTGTTAAAGGCAGGGGTTTCATTCCCACCAGGGCCAAAGCCTAGGAGAAGAGCTGCTGGCATCCAGTACCCACCATGTGTGTCCTTACTGGGCATTCAGTACCCACCATGTGTGTCCTTACTGGGTATTTGATACCTATATGGAAGAGGGGGAGAGGAAGCAACATCTTCCCTCGCTGCCAGAGCTGCTGCCATTCAAGCTGTGAACTTTAGCAGATGCAGTTTGCTGTCTGCTTCCCAGCAGTGATAGCCCAGGCCCTTGGGGCTTCCTTGTGTTTGATCTGGAGCTGGCACCGGGGGAACCAGACAGGGAGAGGAGATAAGAGCCGAATGCTGTGCTCTGGGGCTGTCACCGACACACAGAGCATGAACATGTGGGAAAGGCTCAGGGACAGGCTGAGCCTCAGCTGAGAGAGCTGGGCTGGTTCAGCCTGGAAAGAGAAGGCTCCTTAAGGGGAGAGACCTTAGAGCAGGTCCCTTCCGACCCAAACCAGTCTGGGGTTCTATGACATGAAGGGCATAGGACAAACTCCTCTCTCTTCCCCATTCCTGAAGCCATCCTGGCTCCGATTGTGCCACGATTTCCCCACCTCTGAAAAAGGCTTGGAGCAAATCCTACTGCTAAAGGGCTCCTGAGGTTTGTATCAAACCCAACAGCCTGCAGGGACACATGGATGGGCCCTCAGCTCCCCAGCTTGACCCTCTGCTTGCTGGGACCCCATAGGAAGCCCCTGGGGACCCTGTGCTGAGCTGAGAGGCGGCACAGCCTCGCTGCTGGGGTCATTCCCCTCCAGCCCCATAACCTGCTCCCTTAGCACGAGCCTCTGTTTGTGCATTCCTGGTTTATAGGGAGGGAAAGCCAGCAAATATAACCTGAGCAAGCAGGGGAGCTAATGAGCTGCTCTCGGTGCCCATAAAAACCAAGCTGCAAAAGGCAAGGATGGCCTGGGGCAAGGGACTGGTGCCTGCTTGGTCCCTGCAGCACCAGGGGCTGCTAACCAGGGCTACCAGAGCTTAAGAGATGCCAGACCCCACGCAAAGAGCAGCTCTACACCTAAGGGAAGAGTCTATGGTCCCATTTGGGGCTGGATGGAGGGGTTGGGGCTGGGGGTCTGCACTCTGCCCACCCTCCATCCCAGCCAGCATCTCAGCATGGGTTTTATCGCATTAGTAGGTGCCAGTGAGACAGCCCCTAAGAGCAACAGCGTGAGGCGGCTCCCAGCTTGCTGCCAGCCCACCCACCCCTTTCATTCCCAAGTGATCCCCATCACCCTCCTCAGTCTGTGTCCCTTCACTTCATGTGAAGTGCTTCCACTTCCTTCTCCCTGGAGGAAGGGAGAAACATAAGGAGGGAGCTGCCAAACCGAGCCCAAACCCAAAGGAGCTCGTGCTGCACCTCTTGCGACATCAGGGGTTTATTCTAAGTCCTCATCTACCCTAAAGAAACCCATCTGCATCGCTCTGATCCAGCCAGCACTTGTAGGTAAGCAAATAAATGACTAAAGCTTAAGTAAAGCTGCTTAGCAAACACAGACTGAACCCCACACTTTCTTCCCCCCCCCTTCCCCTTGTTTTAAAGCTGGGCAGAGGACGTTGGCAAATGCTCTCCCCGTTCCTAAGAGCCCAGCAATAGATCTCTGGGATTTGGTGAAGAGGAAGCAGAGGAGAGGGTTCTTTCCATGTCACCAGCACTTCAGCTCGAGTGGAGTGCACGAGAAATCACTTACACCTAAGAGGAACATTCAAAGCCCAGCGTGACAATCCCGAGCCACAACCTCATCTGAGGACACGAGGCCACACTCTGGGAATGACCCACATCTGAGAGACAATGGGAAATGGAACCCCAAAGGCACAACCAAAAAGAGCCCCCCCCCAAGCCCTAAAATCACTCCTGCATTTCCAAGTGTATGCCAGTGGGAAGCACGAGGCCTCAGCATCACCAAGCCCATGGGCTCAGTGCTGGGAGGAGAAGGCAGAAGCATCAATGCGTGCATCCTGCGTGGAGCTGACATCAGTTCCTCTCAGTTTCATTGACACGGCCCCAGCTCTGGCCTGATTTCTTTAATTGCCTCATAATTCCTGCAGCACTTAAGAGCTTTTATAAGCCCCCTGCTTTTCCCAAGGTCAGGAATGAGTGCCCCCACCTCCCCTGTTTCCTTCATCCCCAAATAGCGAGCAGTAAAAGGGGAACGCAGATGCCGTTTCCACGCACTGATGCAGTTTAAAAGAGGGAAAACTACTCACAATTTAAGGAGCTTTGTGGCCTTTCCTGCCCTTTGTGGTGCCAGAAGGGACCCAGAATGGTGCAGGAGAAGATGTTAGAACATGAAATGTGTCCTTCACCCCCCGGGTGCTCAAGGCTCCCACTTCAGGGAGGGTTTGGAATGGGGCTTTGTCAGATGCTTTAGAAATCGCTACCATCTCCTGCAAGACACAAGAATGAGCTTAAAGCTATGAAGTTCAGTGGGAGAAAAGGCCTGGTGGGTGGTAGGAAGCATAAAGCAAGCAGGGGTTGGCTTTATGGCAAGCAGGAACAGACTGAAGCTATACGAGACTCTTAAGCAGGGTTTAGGGCTGGTTGGAGTCGTAGCCAGGTGGGGCTTTCTAGGGAAGGTTCCCCACTAAAACAGCCACCATCCAACAACCTAGGCACTGTTTAACCTGACATGCATGCAGTCTATGATACCTATGAAGATATCATAGAATGGACCACCTCATCCTGCTTTGAGCTCCTGCTTTCCCATCTTTTGGGGAACCACGACTGCAGAAACCTGCCCTGTATCAAGAGCAGGACGATGCTCACGGGTGTCTGCATCAGCTCCAGGCTGGAGCAAGGACAAGCAACACACCATCCCCAAGGAGAAACAAGGCTGCCTGTCGAACCAGTTACCCCAAAGGGAGGGAATGGCCCAGCTGTGGCTCCTCTGCTGGGGCACTGGAGCTGCTGGCAAAGAGCTCATCATGTTTATTCAGATGAGAACAATTTTCCTCCGCTTATGCTCTCAACCTGGAGGCCTCTGGGTCCCTGTGCCAACAACAACACAAGGCCTGCATGGGGACTGTATCTATTTCCACTTGAGCTGTCAGATGGCTCTGGGGGAGGGGGGGGGGATGCTGGGTTCACTGGGCTGCTGGTGGAACCAGCCCCCTCCTCATAACTCACCTTAGGAGTGCTCACGGAGTCACCCGAGGCCACGGGGATGGACAGCGGGGGCTCGGGATGTCAGGGAGCTGCACATGCACAAACAGACACAGGCAGGGGGGAATTTGGAAGCCTGGGTCTATTGGAGGGGCCAAGTCTGCTCTTCCCGTGAGAAAGTGAACCTGGAGCTTCCAGTGAGCCTGGTGATGTTCTGAAATGCCTCTGTATCCTCAGCAAGGCTTCTGGCAGCACTGGAGAGGGACACGGCTTCTCCTGACCCCGGGTACCAGCATGAACAGGAATAGCACAGCACACAGGCACTGAGGAGCAAGGTCCCAGATGAGCATCCCCATGTCCTGGGAGCTGCTTTCTTGCACATGGCTGTCTTCCTCCCTTTACATGCTTCCCAGGAGCATTCCAGACCACAATGGGCATCATCTCAGGGCTGTGCTTTAACAGACACCCCCATACCCTTCCCAACCCAAAGGCATAGGCAGATTGCTCCTAAAGCTCTGCACCCACTCTGAGTGCCTTCAGAACCCCACAGTAGAGGAAACAGCCCTAACAGCCCCCAATACATGGGTTTGGGGTAACACCAACTTCTTGCTGCGTTCTGACAACCCCACACAGAGACATCCCTATTGCAGTGCTGTTCAATTCATGCTGCGACTCAATCATGTCCTTAGCACCTTCAGTGCTGAAGAAGGAAACGTTTCCAGCTCTGAGACTCACTGAGAACCTCAGAGACATCCAAGAGGGAATCAAACTGCAGAAGGAACATGATTTCAGGATACCCAGAGATGGAGAAGTGGGGACCAACTAAGGACAAAGCATGGATGAGGCTCTGTGTTGGGATAGGGAGAACTCACCTTTGGTACATCAGGGCTGTGATTCCCTACAGCTCCTTTCCAGATGGCTGCAGCGATCTAGGCCGTTGCTCCTGGCTGTGGGAATACTGTGAATACAGCTGCTGAGAGGAATGGGGAAGAAATCCCCCTGGAAAGCAGCTATGGAAAGTCGGCCACCCTCGAGGAACTTTCTGCTTGGCTTGCCTGTGGTGTGAAAACCATCCCAGATGAGCTTTTCCTAACGGGAAAGAAGGAAAACCTAAACCAAAGGTTTGTTAAAGCTGCCCATCCCCTGCACACTGCCCCCAGCCCTGACCCACAGACAGGGACACAGCACTAGCCCAAAGGCAGTCCTTTATAGCCCTAAGCCATTAACCCCCCCCAGCCTGGAGCTACGGTACTGCTTCCCTCAGCTCCCTTTCCCCTAGACCTTGCTCCTTCTGGGATTTTAGCCACTCAAAATACACAGTAAAGACAGCATTCCACATAGGAAAAGTTCTGTGTGGATGGAACTACCAACCTTGACTGGCCTTAGTCAAAACCCTGAGTTTTATCCCCTTTCTGCATTGTCCACTGAAGCTCTTGAGCATCCTCACTCTCTTCCTGCATCCTCCTGCATCCTCCCCAGGCTCCTGGTACCCATCACACTCTGTGCCATGACCACTGCAGAGCTTTGGAGCAACCTGGTCTAATGGAAAGTGTCCCTGCCCATGGCAGGGTTTGGAACTGGATGAGCTTTAAGGTCCCTTCCAATTCCATGATTCCACGATTTCTTGGACTCATCACCTTGCAGAAGATACATGAAGCAACGAGGGGAAATACCACGCAGAAAGGAAGAGACGAGCGAGCCGCGCGGGATGGGATCATGAGGAGGGATGAGGGTGGCAGGTCTCTCCATCCCTGCAAATATCCCACACACACACTGACATCTGCCTCTGCTGGGAGGTCAGGCATGGAATTAGCACCTGGAAAGGAGGATATTTGCCTGTGCTGGGGAGAGTTCCTAAGGTGGGCTGTGGAAAACTGGCCGGCGGCTCCGCAGACAAAGCCTCCCTCCTTCCAAAGCAAACAGCACTGCTCCAAGCACCAGCACATGGGGCTGTGGGGCTCCCAGCCACCTTGGAGTGTGAGGGGGACATGGCAAAGGAACTATAGCCCTTAACTCTTGCTGCCCTGCCTGCCTCTGGGCTTGCAGTGCTGCCCTTCGGTCCAGTGGGGATGCTTCATCTGCACTCGTAGCAAGAAGCCATCGTCTCCCCCCAGAAACCTGCACGTGTATTAGGAAAACAAGCTAAAACCTCTGCCTATGGCATCAGTTGTGCTCAAGTGCTGAGCTCAGGACCCTTCTGCACACCCAGAGGCCATCCCCGAGCGCTGACCCCATCTCTCCATCCTCCCTCTGTGCACAATCCACTCCTGGTACCCAAACCAGCCCCAGTCCTGATAAATGCCAGCACCCAGACGTGACCTAGGTGTGAAGGGCAGTGGTGGGTGATGGCTGAGGGCCAGGCACCCCCTTATGAGATCCCCCACTGTTCTCCACGAAGAATAGCCCCTTGTCCTACTCCGACAGCTCCTCCTCAAGCAAAGGGACAGGGAGTAGTGGGGCAGTGTGGTTTCGGGAACAAAAAGCATTAGTTTGGAGACCCATAGACAAAAGGGGGGGTCAGACAGGGCTGCTGTACCCAGGAGTGATGGCTTCCCACCAGGATGCTGGCATTCCAAAAGGCAAAGGGCTGCTGCCCCTTCCCTGTGAAGCTTTGGCTATTGAGGACCAAGGGATACATGACACAAGCGGAGCAGCATGCGTCCTCTGGCTGCATGGCAGCATCTCACGTGAAGCAGGGGAGGCACCAGGCAGGAATCTGCTTCGAGCTGCAGCAAGAGTTTATTTTTCCAGCTAACATAATCGAGTTTAGTGGAAATTCCCCCCTTCTCAACCTCTCCCATCCTCAGGACTGGCTGCTCAGCTGGATGGGAACCAAGCTGGCATGGCAGGAAGCACATGAAGAGCCAGTGTAGGTTATGTCATGTATTTTCCAACCCAGCATAGCTGGGGGGTGCTTGTTTTCTTCTCACCACCAGGAAGGTAAAGCCCCAAACGTCACTGCTTATGGAATTTGCTATTCCTGATGGCAGATACACGGGAGGGGGCACACGCACTGCTCTGCCTATGGATGTGTGCTCTTTGTGTCCTTCTGCTGAGCTCCTGCTCTGCAGATGGAAATGCTGCACACGGAGATCACGGAATCCCAGCCTGGTTCCATGGAATCCCAGCACCTTGCCACCCTCACAGGGAAGAACTGAGAGCTCATCTCAATCTCCTCTGTCAGGTTAAAGCCGTTCCCCCTTGTCCTGTCCCTACATCCCTTGTCCAAAGCCTGTCTCCAGATGATAAAGGGATGGGTTGTTGCTCTGATACTGCAGGTGTAAGCACTGACAAAGCTCTCTACACGTTGTCTTGCTGCTCTTACACCCTGAGCACGGCAAAGGTAGAACAAGATGCACTGAGCAATGTTAAAACCAGGCAAGTAGCAGGTCCATGGCTGGAGCAGAAGCTACTCACCTCTCTCAGCAAACCCTTCTCCTGGTGCAGGGCCTTGGCCAGCAAACACCAACCGGGATCCTGGGGGGAAGTGGGATGTTGGATGCCTGACTTCAACCATCTTCTTGTGGTTTTGCCTTCCTGAGCAGTAGAAGTGAATGAACCTGTAGGACAAAATGCCCCAAACTTGCAATTCTTTATACAGCTAGACATTGTATTACACAGGACAGGTATCCTATGTGAAACCCTGCCATGATTAAAGCCACATCTATATATTATTATAGATTATAACCATCGCTCTAAATCAGAATTAGAGGCGTGTTTGGGTGCGTGTGGACTCCAGACAGCACCTGGAGGGGTTCTGCAAAGGAAGGGAATGAAAACCCCACCAGGCAGAAGAGATTTGAAGAGAAAACAAGTGCTGCTTGTGGGAATCCCGTGGTGCATGAAGATGGATGGAGACAGAGCAAGTGCCACCTCCCTGGCTCACTGGGACCAAGGTGAGGAGAAGCATCCCCATCTGCAAACCCAACCACGCTGCTGCATTCCCCGCCTGCTGCCGAGAACCATGAATGCTTTGGGTTGGAATGGCCCTTGAAGGCCATCTCATTCCAACCCCATTGCTGTGATGGGGAGAGAACCCCCTCAGAGCAGGAGAAACCCTTCAGCTTGGAGCTGAAGCATGGCAACTCCCAGGCCAGACGAATGCTGTGGCTGCTCCAATGCGCTCATCGCACATTGGTGTTTCCCACCCGCATCCCAAGCTCCTGGGTTGGATTTGGGCAGCACAACTTGGGCATAGCAAAGGAATTCAGCGTTAATAAACGCTGAGGCAGAGCCTGAAGTGTTTGTTTTCCAAGGGCAGGCCATTCATCCAGTGCCACTGCTCTGTTCCACTGCATCGCCCTCTGCTTATAGAAGATTAATGAGACACAGCCTGTCTTTCACCCTGACCAGTGTTGCAGGCACCAGGAGGAAGGCCAGATTTGGGGTTCATCTCCCCCTTTCTCCTCCCTCTCTGCCTGTCGCCACCACACCAGCCTGGAGAACACAGTTCTCTCCCCTTGTCATGCACTGAAACACAAGGGTTCATGACTAGAGTGTTTCCTGGCTATATCAGCTGCCCTCTGCAACCAGCCCTCTTTCAGCTGGAGCCTCCTGTAACGTGGGGAAGCTGCAAGAGAAGTGATGGGACAGGTCAAACAACGCTAAAAGGAAGGAGAATGAATGATAAGGAGAAGACAGCTTAGGTTTAGCCTGCCCAAAGCACTCAACTGGATTAGGGGACTTACCAGAAAGCATATGGTGATGCCCAAGAGAGCAGACACCATATAACCAGTTATATATGCTGTATATAGATAACCATAGATATATGCTATAACTAGTTATATATGCTATATATAGATAACCATAGATATATGCTATAACTAGTTATATATACTGCATATATATAACCATAGATATATGCTATAACCAGTTATATATGCTATATATATGCTATATATATATATACCATATATATAATCAGATATATGCTATATATAGATAACCATAGATATATGCTATAAGTAGTTATATATACTATATATATAACCACAGATATATGCTATAACCAGTTAAATATGCTATATATAGATAACCATAGATATATGCTATAACCAGTTATAAGGCACCAGGCTAACAGCAGTGTGATGCTCACATGGCACTTCCAAAGGACACAGGGCTATCCCTGCTCCAGAAAATGCTCCTTAGCACATTTAGCATCACCCCCATACTCTTCCTGCTGGGCTCCTGACCTGCTCAACCAACAGCTTCACCATGCAGCACCCGCGGGTGCATCTCCCATTGTCCTGCCCAAGGAAGATGTGTGAAGCAGCCCAGCTCCACCTGCAGCATTGCCAGGCTCCATCCCCTGCTCATCCCAGCGACTGGGTGAGCTTTAAAGCCTCTTGCAACCCAAACCACTCTCAGGCTGACTCTAAATGGGGCTGGATTGAAACCAGCATGAACGTGTCACCGCAACAGCGCTTTTGCATCCCCCCAGTCTATGGCTGGGGCAGGAGCAGTTGACGCATTTCTCCGGCACTCAAAGCTCAACCTGAAAAGCTGCCATTGCCATTAAAAGCAAAGCCAGCTTTGTAAGAACTCCATACGTTTCCATTTCTTTTCCCTCCTTCCTTTCCTTCTTTCTGATTCACCCTTCTGATATTTTGCTTGGACTCCAGTCCTAACGTATTCATCCTTCTTAGCACATTTTTGGGCTGCTTCCACCATTGTTCTTGGAAGCTTGATTTTAAGGACATACATTTAGATATGCAACCTGGTCTCCCACATTAAAAACCTCCTTTAGGCTGGAAAGGGAAGAGCTTAGAGCACGATGAGCCCACATAGAGCCTGCATTGGCTTTGGGAAGTGGAGGGGCTAAAATCAATGCAACCCAATGCAATGAAGTAACACGATGAGATTAGAACTGCGTGCACCAGATGGCCGCTCTGATCCTTATCTGGTGGGGAATGCCAGCTTTCCAACAGGACAGCATCACTTGCCTTTTCCTTGTGAACTTCTTGCCTTATTTATTTGCTTGAGATCAGAAGAGCTGGGGGAAGCTGCCTGGCAGAAACACCAACCTTATGCCAAAGGGTTTGAAGCTGGAGCACAAGTTGGCTTTTACAGGCAGGGGTGCAAGGGGAAGAGGTGGAAAAAGGGTCATTTCTGCCTGGGGAAAGGCCCAAAATGATTTGGAGAGATGAAGGGGCTTTTTCATCATGCAGGAAGCCCACGACGCAGTGAGGTGCCAGATGGGTTTGGGGAAACAGCGGTGGGAAGGATGGATAGGAGGTGCCTGTGTGGTTATGGCAGTGCTGAGTGCCTCAGCTTATACTCATTACACTCACTAAAGCCCTTTTTCAGCTCTTTAAGGCACCCACAAACCTACTTTTAGAGCTCCCTCCCTTCTCCTGCCCAAGGGATGCTGCAGCTCTGGGGCAGCATCCATCTATCCCACACCACTAAGAGCAAACTCAAGGCCATGGCACACAGGCAGCAAGATCCCATGTGGAAGTGATGACCTGGGATAATAAGAACCTTGGCTAAACCTTCACCAGAATGGCTTTGAGCTGAAAGAGGGCAGATTTAGATGAGATATTAGGAATTAAACCCAGGCAATCGACTGCAACCAGGAGCTTCCTTAGCATGGAGAAGCTATGGTCCATCCAGGAGCATCCTTGCAGCAGCTTCTCCTGGGGCATCCTAAAACCCCAAGTGCTAGAGCAATACACAAGCCACAGTCATGCCCTGAGTGCCCATGGAGACATTCCAGGGATCCTGTCAAGGAAGGAGGCACTGGGATACGTTGGAGGAGCAGCTGCACTGCTGCGGAGCTGCTACTCCCCAGGGGCTCAGCTCTCCACCAGCCCATAGAGTGAGATGTTGTACCTTGTTTGTGTTTCTATGGTATTACCCTGCCTGCTGGCTCCCCTCCTGCAGCCCCCCCCCCTCAAGCTAAACCTCTGTGAGGTTAATTATGAGCACGAAAAACGGCCTCCCAAGAGCAACGGGGCTTGATTTAAAGTCATAAAGCTGGAAATCTTGGATTTGATGACGAACCCTGGGGAGAGCAGCTCCTATTAGCGCTCAGCAATGGGCCACAAAAGACCAAGGGGAAAATTCCTGCTGGACTTCTCTCCTCAGTCCACTCCCTGGCTTCATTTTCCATCCCCACATCCTTCCAGCCTGCAAACATATACAGCGTTGCCTGGGCAACTCGGAGACGAGATATACGTACACCGAGGAGTGAGACAATCTCTTTCCTCCCCGATTGCCTGCAAGGTGGAAAAACTCAACCTCCCCTGCTCTTACAGCAACGTCAGCTTCGACCAGGCACACTCACAGCCCAACCTGCTCCTAAACGTGCCACCTCCTGCTCCTCTCGTGGGCATCCATCCCCAGCCATCCCGCATCCCAGAGGAGGATGCTCAGGACACGCAGGCTCGCCAACACACGCACGTTGCCTGAAGATGTCTTCTCTCTTGCCAAACCAACCGGTTATATATTGCCACAGGTCTCATGGGACCAAGAAATCACCCTTTTGCTCCCAGTCCCATCACCATCTTTGCCAGTAAAGTTCCTCTTCTGGTATTTACCCTATCAAACAGAGGATGGGCTGGTTCAAAGCTGTGCCAGGGGCATAACCAGCTCTCCAGCTCCTCCATCACACCTCATCTCAAATGGAGAGCTGCAAAACAAGGGTTAGACATCCCCAAAACTTCCTTCAGGGGTGACTGTGAATGGGAAAACTGGGGTAGCAGAGGCAGGCACATCATTATCCATAAGGACAAGGTGAAATCTGCTTCATTTTATCATTTATAGCCAAATCCAAAGCATCTCTTAAAGGTGCAGCTGTGCAGGAACCTGAGCCAGGAAAGGGCTGTGAAGGTAAAGCTGATTCCTGCCATTAAAATGTGCCAGTGCTGGGACAGGGAGAAGCTGAAGTGCAAACAAGGAAAAAAAGGGTGGGAAAACGTGATTTGATCTGCTCTGAAAGCAGTAACAGCCCCACTGAAAAGCCTCACAAACATGTAATGTGTGGGGTGGAGCAGGGGTAAGGTCATAAATAACCATAAACAGAGCCAAAGCAAGATAAAATAACTGTCTTCAAGTACCACCACCTTTCATCCAGAGGGGCTGTTTTTAACTGGTTTTACAGGGAATGGATGTGGCCACCTTTGGGCTGGAATGCCAAGCAGCTCTGCCATGCAGGAGGGATGGATTTACCCCATTGAAGCGATGAGCTGGCGTTGCTCAGCATTTTGTTAATGCTGTTATTAATGACAACTTCTCTGCAATGGTCATCAAACACTGTCTTGAAACACTGGCTGTGAGGCCAGGCTCTAACTAGTAACAATAAGGTAAGGCTGTACAGGGACAGAGCATCATCTATGAAAGAAACCAGTGCAGGACATGGAATGGGGATGCTGGGTCCCTCCCAAGCCCTTCCAGTCCTTTTCCCCTCTGTATGGTTGATAACTGGGTATTCCAGGTTTCCACCACAAGACCTATTCCACCTCTGAACAAGTCTTTTCCCTTTAAAGGCTTGAGATTCAAACCATCAACCTTACTGTGAAAGCAAGGGGTTTGCTCCTCTTAGAGGGGATGAACGCCACGT